CACACACACACACCACGTTAACCTCATTAGTCTTGTGCATAATGAAGCAGAGGTGCGTTGATATGTTTTGTGTTACTCGTGGCTCATCACACTTGCACCAAAATGATAATTTTAATATTCACTAATAATATTGGTTAATAATAATTTAAAAAAAATCTTAAATAGACAGAAAAATTGAGCTTTAAATGAGCTGCAGATGGACTAAAAACATTTACAGACCTTGAAGCCCTTTTCTTTAAAGAAAGTTCCAACTTTTTGTTCTGCCATACATAAACATACATAAACATAAATAAATAAATAAATAAATAAAACAAAAGTTACCTACAAGAAAGTCATTTTAATTTAACAATATCATAGACTTTAAAAATAGATGTTCAGATTGTTACATGCCTCTGCATTCTACAATTAAAATATTATAATTATCATTTGATATATTGTAATTAAAAGACAGTGTTATTTCTGTGCTAAAGATAATTTTTGCCTGCTCTGTCACTGTTTTGGGAGTCATTCAGTGCATTAATAAATGAAAATAGTAATAATAATGTGTTTTTGAAAGGATTGTGCTCACAGAGATGGTGTTTTTAAAACTCAGCACACGAACATGTGTAGGCGTTTTAAGAAATTACTGTGGATAATCTGTTCATGTCTCATGCTGTCTTAAAGGTGTACAAACATCACCTCTTCATCATGATTAACTTCATTGTTTTTTTTTGTGTGTCTAATTGATGAATCATCAAAACTGAAAAAGACAAAAGAGGAGCATCTATGAATTCCTGAAATTTAGTGAATTCACAAACGCGTGTTCTGTGTTTTTACATAAAAGTGGAATTTTTCTGTTCCTAGTGAAGAAAGCTTATTGTGGCTAAAAACTCTGTTTGCCATCTGCTGGCCATCGTCCGGGATTACAGGTCCAGCTTTGTATTTGAAATAATGTGGAAAAAAAGCGGGGGGGACAAAAACATCTCATTGTTCAAAAATAGCAGCTTGTGTTGCTGTTTTTATTTATTTATTCATTCATTCATTCATTCATTCATTCATTCATTCATTCATACATACAATGTTTATTCATTGCTTTTTCCGTTTGAGGGCTGCAACATCCATACCTCCACCTGATTAGTTTTACTCACTGCCATGCCTCTCCCCCTCTTCTTCCTGCTATTTTTACTGCCCCCCCTCCACTCTTTGGTCTTTAATAGCTTGGGCTGTGTCAGTTCATCAGCCTGAGAGTGGAAGAGAGTGGAGGAAGTGATGTAGAGGATGAGGAGAGGGCCATTAAACTTTAACAACTGCTCTACATCACCAGCTCCTTTTGCCTCCTTTTGCTTTGCTGTCACTGCCCCGCACACATGCTAACACAAAGATTTCTCACCTCCAGACGTCGCGAAAACAGCGGCGAGAAAAAAATAATGACGACACGATTCAATCTGATAATACGTGTTTACGTACAACGCTGTCGTTTGAAAGGATTTGTTTAAGAGATATTTTGGGTTTCTAAACACCACGGAGGTGTTTATGTTTGTGAGCAGAGCTGGTTTTTGGGGAGGGTTGATCCTCCTCACCTTTTGCTGCTTGTTTTCTTCAGTATCTGCTGTTTTTTTGTGTGCATGGCTTCCTTCGCTGCCTGTTTCTGCCAACAGTCCTCACTGCTTGTGACTCAGCTTGTTTTTCACCGTGCATGCCTCRTATTTGATTGCAGCCTCCTTCACTGTGTGCCGCTGCTTTCTCTCTTGAATACACGAATACTGATCACCTCTCTGCCTTTCATCCAGATACTGTGCTGTTCTTTCTTGTTCTGCGTTTGATTTGTCTGTTTGGTCTCAGTGTTACTTTGTATCATATTTCTTGTCTTCTTTTTTTTTTCTTCTTTCAATCTCTTCAATTTCTTGTCCTGCTTTTTCTGGTTTTGACCTCTTTCCCTTTCTTTCTTCCTCCTCTCCGTCTGTCTTTTCCCTCCCCTTCCCCGTGGCTTGTCTGTGTGTGTCGTGGATCTCAGTGCCCGTGGTGTGCTCTGTGCACCCTCCTGCCTCTCACAGCGCTCCCTCCTTCCTGCGTCAATATGCCGGTCATCTGGGCCGCACCGCCTTACGCAGAGAGCCAGGTGGGGGGCTGGAAAGGGAAAGAGCCTTCCTGAGCCTGCACAGGACTGGATCTTTGGGTATAATTTCACACACACGCAGCAAACACACAAACCTGTAAGTACATAAACATCAAGGAACCAAGTATTCCAGTTTATAGAAAAACTTTGACACTTTGTTTTCTATTTGTYCTCTATTCTATTAAATAAGAGTGACCTACGTCAATAGTTGCACTATTCTGTTACCTCCATGGTTTATTATTAAAAAGGAGATGGTCATAACACAGCGTTAAAGTCTCATAATTCTGACCATAACCATAAAAAAGGGTCCAGTCCAAGTGTGAACATTTGTCTCCTCCATCCTGAGTTTTTAAGAATTCTCTCACTGTTTGCCATTCAAACATTTTCTTACAACATCCATTCATAAGGTTTGTTTAAGAAGTGAGAATCTACTCAAAGGTAAATAATGTGTCTGAGAAAACATTTAATTCCCACTGTTTACCAGCAGTGTGATGGTACATGTATTTGTACTGTAGGCCAAGACCCTGGCCGGCCCGTCTTCCAACCTGGGTTCAGCGTGTTTAACACATTCTCACTCCCAACTTGTCACTTACTGACACTTGTCCAGGGTTCCCGCTGCCTCTGGTTTTTGACGCACGGGGCTTTTCTGGGTTCATGCCACACTGGGTCTTTCGGTTGGGGTCTGAGGTTAATATTAGGGATCTGGATTGCTGGTTAATTTTAGGTAGTGAGGTCAGGGATAGGATGTAAAATAAATAAAATTTATGGTTTGGGACGGTTAGTTGTTGGGTGTTTTCTATATTTTAAAGGGATCCCTGATTAGTTGTAACATTAGACTTTATTTGATAAACAAATATTTTAACAGTAAAACAAAGACGTAAAAATACTGTAGGCTGTTTAGTTTTGTAAATTTTTAAAAAAATATATTTTAACACAGACAGAGCCATTTTATTTACATGCAAAGCATTCTGGGTGAATGATGACGTGGATAGGTCCTCGGTGTGAGCAAGCTATATCCACCCTGAAGGTTAAGCTTGGACAATATCTGACGATCAACTCAAATGAAACCAGAGAGCGTTGAYAGAGAGGAGAAGGTAGAAATGACTCAGCCTGTAACTGGAAAACATGGATGGAGGACAACAGAGCTGCTTCATGGAAGAAGAAACTCAGCTTAGCCTGTTAACTTTAGCATTAGCACCAATGCTATATGTATTAGCTTAGCGCTAGCGCGACAA